TTGTCGTAGTCGATTCGTTTGTATCTCCAGCTAGGGAGAGTAGAGATTTGGTCATCTGATGCTCCTCTGTCTGAAGATCCCATGTTCATGTTATATCCAAGGAGGCTACTAATGAGAGGGACAAGACAACATAGGAAGAGGAAGAGAACAAAGGGAAACGAATAGCAGAGAGCGTTCCAAGCTAGAAGAGAGACGCAGAGAACATGAAGCTTGGGAGCATGGTGAAAAGAACCGAATCTAGAATCGAACACCCAAACATTCCCAACCACAAACCAAATCGCAAAGAAAAGCTCTAGCGATGTTCTGCATTTGTTCATCAAATGAGAGCTCCTGAACAACAACAATTGAATATCAGTACAAACTTCAGGCTCTTGTAAAGGTTTTAAAAAGATATGCTTTTGAAGTTACCTTGTTTCTTCCTCTGTAACTCTCTGTTGCTGCTCAACATCACCGAGGCTAAACCCATTTACTGGTTGCCGATACCGACCATATAACAGCATGAGATTAAGGAGACAACCAACATCGTAACCAGTGATCCATAGCCTAACTGGCCAAATAGGTCTCTCTTCTTTGGAGATAGCTAGTGTGAATGTTATGACAGTGAGCTGAAGAAGCAGAGCAATGAGCTCAGACATCATCCAAGTGGTTGAGTTGAAAGGATTGGATCCAAGATCTGATATTGATCCGTTCTGGTAATGAAACACTCTTCTCAAGAAGATAAACCATCTAGCTCTAGATACCTTCATAGCCAATCTTATGTAAAACGAAGATGGAGACCTTTCTTGATCAGAAACAGCTACAGAAGAAGCCACATGACTGTTATCAACTCTCGGTGTGGAGTTTAACGAAGAAGACGATGAAATAGTGATTGAGATGTTATTGGAAAATAACTCTGGTTGAACGGAATAACGAGTATTCATCGGAAGTTTGTCAAGTCTTCTTCAAGATTTATTATACCTTCACATGAAAAACAAAAGAGAGAGAGAGACTCAAATCTTCTGAAAATTTATGAGATTCTGTTATATAAGTTGTGAGCACGCACATGGAACCTGAAGTTTATATAAACGAAAAGATCATGAAACACACGGCAACTTAGCAACCAAAAAAGTCACAAAATTTTCATGACTCAACAATAATAAAAACCACATGAAACTTCACTGAGGAATATAATCAAATACCTTATCTGCAACCATCAAAAAGTTAAGCTCAGATCCGTACACGAACTCCACGATTTCCCAAAAAAAGCGGAATCGATCTTAANAAANAAAAAAAAAAAACTTAATTTTCCACCAACCCACGAATCCAATAACCCGATTCAGTATTTTTCAATTCGAAATTCAACACACGAACAAAAGAAAAAAGTGAGAATTTTTCAAAAAGGGAATTTAGTGTGAAATGAAAGGAAGTTTGAGAGGGAGATGAAGTTTCTAATATAGGGGAAAAGATTT